TTGAATGAATTATGACCCGTACAATTTCGATTTGCATATTGTCAATCAAAGGTCTTGTTATTTGGTTACTCATGCAAATTAGGCAATTGGACATAAACATTGCCACGTGTGAGTGTTTTTTTATTTTTAACCAGAAAATAAACAGCATTTTTAACGGTGTTCCAATAAGAATTCATTGGTCAAATTTTCACAGAATGTTCTTTAGAGAAAAATCTATATAAAAAACGAAAAAAACTATTTTTGATTGAAATTCACAAATAAACTGCATCTCTACCTTAATCTGATCTCAGACAACTAGTAAACAGACTGGCAACACCGGTATTTCTTTCGATCTAACTTGTGTCTCTTGTTTACTTTTACGGTTTAAGCTTATAAACAACTTGGGGAGATACAAAATGTTCGCAACCTCGCGAGACACTGCGATGTTTTAACAGGAAGTGATGCAAAGGGTCAGACCGGAGTTTCATACTTAGTGATTCTCGTGGGACAACAGACATTCATAAAACAGGTATGGGTGACAATAAAACAGAAAGTATAAATTCAGTTGCAGGTCAAACTAAATACCAGTGGAAATAAATCAGGTGGAAGTAAGTAATAAGCGTTCTCTGAGCGCAACGCTGCTAGTTTAGTTGACTGGTACACTTCTTGCCCTGATGCATCATTTTCAAAAGCTTTTTTTAATACATGATCGGCAAAATTTATTAACCCAAGACCAGCTTTGTTGTAAACATGGCGAGGTGAACTATCCTAGAAAAATCAAGGTTAAAATTGGCGTGTTCCGGTAAAAGTCTACACATTCAAGTTACTTTCCTAATTCGAAGTAAAACTCTTGTTTTCGGGTGATCTGATCTAAACTGAATACAGAGAATGACTAAATTGCACTTGAGGCCAAGGATTCCTGATGTGTGTACTCGACATTCGGCAAAACGTAGCCACCACACGTTCCCAGGGATTAGGCTGATTGACGCCTTTCAACAATAGCATTGCCAGTCTGTTTATTAGTTGTTCGAGATCTGATTAAATTTAAAGTAAGCTAAATGAAATGTAAGCTTGTGTATGCATTGTTTTAAATATACTTCATAGGTTTGCACCATTCTCAGCAGGTCATGCAAGTAGTGGGGCACCAAGATGGCGAATTTACTCATCAATTTTTAGGATGTCTGATACACTAACTTCATACTCTAGTAAAACCATGGTAACTATCAAACTTACAAATTGAACATAGAACATACAAACAAGGTGTACAACATCAATTAATACAACAAACTAGACTTATAAATGTGTCTATAGGGATAGGTCCACAGAATTCTGGATCGTTATCTGTCCAGTCAAAACCAAATAAAGGTAGCAGAATAGCAAGCAAGATTGCCACGTTATTGCCCTAATACTTGCAAGACTTGCTTCAATATTACCATTCTTGTGTGCTCATTGTATCATCTTAGCTATATTCCAGCACATCGGGAAGTGTTTGCAACACCAGGTCATTGTGTTTTTTCTGTGATATCTAGGACCAGTAGTTACATACAGAACAACCCTCTGTATTTTATTTTATTTTATGAATAATGGGGGGCAAGTTCTGAGTCATTGAAACATCACTTTGCAGCAGTGTCTTGTCCTTCTCAGTATAGCTGTAGTGCGGCGATGGAAACGTGAGAATCCTTAAAGCATTGGTTTCTCAAGGTCAAAATAAGAGTTTTCATCCCATCCCATTTCTTGTGCATGCCAACAAGTCCACCAATAACAAAACAAATACACTTTGATTTTTAATTTTGAGTTGAAGGTTCAACTCACCATATATTTTATTGGAAGAAAGACCTCGTTCCACTAGTTATTATGCAGGCTACATTGGAAATATATTATATACATACTGAATTGCTACAAGACGGTCTTGTCCCAGTTCAGTTTAACATTTAAGGACACAATTGTTGTCTTGAAATGAACGGCAGACAAATACTAAAGTGAATCAAAGAAACATATTGCATTCCTTTCCGTAATTACGTTCCCCTTTCTGCCTAACAACAAATCATACACATGAGAATCTGTCAGGAAAGGTCAAACACTTTTTTGGAAGATTTAACGACAGACAGAACTTAATACACAAAAAGATACAAAAAAGATTTGCTTCCAAATAAAGGTATTAACATGTATAAAATAATTTTGTAAGAACAAAATGTATCAAAGCTCTAAAAAAAAAAAAAATCTTGATGACCGACTACACAACTGCAGCACTATTTACAGAGCCTTAGTTCTTAGCTCAATACTACACCGAGACATACTAAGTGTATCAAGATTCCACAAGACATTTTATAAGTTTTTTGTTCTTAAAACAAACATTTTACCTTTCTTTTTAAAAGAAAACGGTTGTAAAAGACACTTATACAGATTTGAAGCCATTTGAGTGCATGTGTTACCAGAAGAGGCTGACCAGCATGGTAGTTAAAAATTTCAATCCAATTTTCACAGGGTGATTGACGTCGGCATCGACTACAAATATCAGTGACACTTGTTGGCACGCACAACTTTACAGGCAGTTTTCATACGATGAGTTCAATACAGTTTATGCATTTTTTTTAGCAGCTATTGAGAAGGACAAGAACAACCAGCGCATACAGTTTGATGTGTATTGTTCAGGGATATTAATTAAGTTCACTGCTACAGCCATGAACAAAATGCATTCCCTTTCATATCACAAGATGGACGGACACGCATACAGATTAAATCACTAACACTTATAAGTAAGCTATAGGTGCCTTCCTTGTAAGGGAAGGCGCATTTAAGGTGTCACAGTGCGACTAGAACCACCACGCGAGGCTGCAAAAAGCTGCAACACCTGAAAACTCCTTGTTTATCACGTACGCTCACTATAAAAGTCCAGCTGGCCTGCCTCCCTGATCACACATGCCACTCGTATGGCTTACATCTGTACAGTTTACAAACCAACCATAACGTCTGAATATTGTGAAAGCCATGAACGCCAAGGTAAAAACATCCACAGCAACAATACAATCAACATTTAACACCTGCATGGGAGCTTAAGGGCAGTTAGATCTTTGTATCGGAATGTTACTATTTTGCAAGATCTAATTTGTCACACTGGCATGAAAATAGCTACCTCAGTTTTAAAGCATCGCCAAAAAATAAATGTGCCTAATTTAAGTCCAGCTTATGTTGTAAGATACATATCTTTTCCCCAGGTTGGTCTAAAATTTCACAGAATGCTGTTCTGAAATGTGTTCTTAGTTTAACTACCTGACTCTGAGTCACTACTGTCTGAAGAGCTAGATGAGCCACCACTACTGCTACTACTCGTGTCGCTATCTGATGAACTGCTGCTACTAGCACTCAACCTGGATGGACCACCGACCACATCAATCATGCTTTCCATTGCTTCTCGTTCAGCTGAAAAGAACAAAAAAACAAGTTCTGAGTACAAGCCACAAAGAGTATGTAATAACGTTCACTAAGAAGTGTAAATACACCAACATTTATTGTTATTGTTGCTCAGTTTGACGACAAACACACCAGTCATTTACTAAAGTGCATGAGCTACAAAAAGCAAACGCTGTACTCAAAATGGCACCATACAAGTAGTGTGATTTTAGTAGTTTCAATACATCAAGATTCAAGATAGGCTTTCAAATGACCCGACACTATTATCACACAATTGACCATTTTCCGTTCACTGCAAGAATCGTGCGTTATGCGTGAAATCGAACGTAAAAACAGGACAAACAAAGGTCATAGCGTCGTAGTGGCGTCACACAACGCATGGGATTCGACAAACGCGAAAGTATTTTGGGGAATATTTCCATGCTTAATAATGTGCTGTCCACATTTGATGATAGGCAATTTCGATTAAGTAAGGGTATTCAAAAGCAATATTCCTCTGTCGAAGATCGGCCGGTCAATGCGAGTTACGAAATAAAGAAATTTGAGTTAAAATCAAATTGTTAGTTTTTTGCGGAAGACGTTCAACGCGAGATCTCTCAGTTGAGCGGAAAATCAGCTATTATGTACCGCAAAAGGCAATTACATTATCCCTTTCTACCAGTGTCTAGTGCTGCATATTTAAGACAGAACAATAATGTCGAGAATCCGCAGCACTGACCTTTCTTAGAAGATTTCTTTGCATAAGTACCACCTAATTGCCCACTAACATCTTGCAACCTTTTCTCAAGTTCTTGTTTTTTTTCTCTTTGCTGCTCTTCTTTCGTTTTTCCAGCTGTCTTTTTAGCTGCAAACAGGAAATAAATGAATGCATAGTTTATAATTAGCATTGACACTTATTTCACTGCCCTCTGCTCCAAAACATGCCTTCTCATAGAACAACTTCAGCAGGGACAATCAATTAAATTCCATGACTAGTTTATATGCATTGAGAATCAAGTTGCAATAAACTAAATAAAATCCACACCAACTTACCATAAGGTTTTCGTGGCTTTTTTCGTAAACACTGCATGACATATCGTTCAAGTTCTCTTAATGTGGAAGGTTTAAGAGTTTCAAAATCTATTTCAATTTCATCAGGGTTTGAATCCCGTAGCGATGGTTCTCTTGCTTGAATTATATGTACTACTCGTCCCAATTTGTCACCTATAAATGAATATGGGCAGAAAAGCTCATCAAAAACAGTTACTGTCAAAAATCAGTTGAACAATATAATTATTCAGTAAATGAGGTCCAGCTAGAAATCTTTATCGTTATTAGAACATTGTTGAACACCAAACTATCACTAAAACTTGGCAATTGTTTCATTTTCTGTTTGGATATCCAGCATCAGCTTTAAAGAAGACATCTATTAACACATTTAATGTTCCATTGGCATGAAACAGTCACTCAGACTTCCACAACGGACAAAGTGACTGTGATTAACAAGGGACATTTATTGTAACCTCAACTGATTTATTAGTCACATCATAAGCGTACCGCCTAGGACCTATGCCCGTTGAGGTATTTTGAAATGAGGGGGCCAATCTTACCGAATATCAGGCCCAAAATTTCTACTAGAATGCCTTAGATAAACTCAAATATTGAAGGCACCCATGCTGCTATACCTTTGTATGATTACAGTGATAATACAAAAAGTATTACCTGGTAATTTATTAATATCTAAACTAAGTTGTCTCTTTTCATCATACGACATTGGTTTGGCTATATCTTCATCTTCACTTTCATATACAGGCGGAGGTGGCTGCTTGCTCTTTTTACTTGCCCTGCAATATAAAGAAGTAAGACACTAAGTAAGTTTTCATCATCATCTTGTAGTCGTAATTTACCTTACCCACATACACATTTCCTCTTATTAAAAGCACTTCTGTGAATGACTTGTTAACAGATCAATAAGATCATGTATGCACCTATTAAGTGCTTTTATTTGAATAGAGCAAATAAAGTAAGAAGCACATGTTAGCGGAAAAGCTTGGTTTAGAGCAACTCCTTTCTAGCTATTTGTTGAACCTTTCCTACTAAAATAGGTCATTTTCAATGACATTGTGAATTATGAACAATGACAAATGCATATATGTCTGAAGAGGGATTACGATAACCTGATCACTCAATGTGCATATATTCAAAGACATACATGTATGTACTATGTACGTGTAAAGTATGAATGTAATCTGCATAGGGATGTACAAGATATAGGTCCGAACAGACCATGTAAGGCAAGGCAGCTGTCTCATATGGCATTTACTTTCTCCGTTGGATTACTAGTCACTGACTGACTTCACTGATCATGAAAGCTGCAAGTGTGTAAAATATCTACTATGACGACTCGTCTAATTTCAAATTAAGACCATAGGTAGCCACCAAGCTTACCAAATCGCATCTTGGAGAGGGGGAAATGTGATCCAAAAAATTATAAAATACATGAACTAAACTGTATAGAAGTCTGTTGCCTTTGGCATAATAGACAAAATACTGTATTAAATATTCATTTTCACAATTTCAAGAAAAGTTCTAACCTATTATTCGTCCTCTTAGGCTGTTTTTTTGTTCCTACGGGTTTAGCAGTTTCAGTTTTACGCTTAGGTTTTGGTTTTTCTTTTTTCTCTTCTTTCTTGACAACGACTTCCTCTTTTGGTGGCTCTGGTTCTTTTTCTTGCTCTTTTTCCTTTTCCTTCTCTTTCTTTTTTTTCTTCTTTGAATCTTTCTCTTTTTCTTTTTCCTTCTCTTTGTCCTTCTCTTTCTTTTTCTTTGGTCTGTTAAACGATGCTTCAGACAGTGCACTAAGTTGCTCATGCACTGCTCTAAGCTGTAATCAAAACAATTACAAACTTTTGAATTTTCAGCAAATTAAAAGGCAGCGTGTTAATCCGATTTTGCAATTTTAGCACTGCAATCAGAATTCAATTCTAGATCATTCACCACGACTGGAAGTGAGACACACAAGTCAAGACCAGCAAAACGCTGATATTAACCAAATATGATCACTTCAGAACATGGCTCAGTTGACACGCATGAGTTTCATCACTTTACAGTTCCCACCAAGACCAAGCTAATAAACTACTGATGCATAAAAGAGATGATATTTCCATCCACTCCGTGATGTAATTTTTGCCTTAGGAGATTTCAGCTGTACCTTTTCCGGTCTTTCAGTCTTAGGCACATGCCTCCCATTTCCATGAATATGCTCCTAGAACGAATTAGAATTTTGTCCTCAAAGTGTTGTACTGATTTAGTGGACCAAAAGTGATAGCAGTAGTTTATTATTTTCTAGTCACTTTATGTAAAAGGGTGAGGAGCATAGAGAATCATTTTCGGTGCCCAAATTGGCACTCAGCAATAGTAATCTAGTAAATATGTGTAAAGCACAAAAGTATTTATGCATCCAGCAACATAATTAGCCAAAGAAAAATCGTCTCAATGAATTGCAAATACAGCTCTTGATGTAAAGCTTTTATTTCAGATTTCAAAAATAAATGCACCATCATATTTAAGGCATAACGTAATTCCTATCACTGGCTGCCAATTTTAGACAAGAAAATTCCAAGCTCAATCCTACCTGTGCCTGAAGCTGTGATAATTTATTGGCTCTTTCTTCTTCACTATCTGTGCTGTCTGAATCAGATGACGTGTCACTACTGCTACTGCTCGCACTGCTGCTGCTAGGTTGGCCCGCATCACCTGATGGATCTTGCTCACTTGGAGGTGGCGTCGGTTCATCAGGCATTTTCGCAAATTTCATTTCAAAAACATCCTAAAAATCATGAAAATACATCAGTTACTGGACATTTTGCATTATGGAAAATAACATTTTTTTGTCAGATTAAAATCAGTTGGCAAGATGTCATTACAGCCAGCTGACATCAATTGCTACAACCTGCGCTTTCTTAACCTTTATTTCACCTAGTCAATGTGATAGGGCTGGCAGGAAAAAGAATACAGCAACTCACTGGTAACTTTCTTGCGATAGTCAAAAATGTATGTACTATGTATGCGATAAAGTACGAATGCACACTGTACAAGATAAAGTCTAGGTGTAAACAGTGTACTCTGACTTCATTTGAATATAAAGATTTGATTTTGATTTGAATATAAAGACAAAGGAAGGCAAGCAGATGTCACCGATGACGAACGGTGAGAGTATGAATAATGATCTAATGTAACTATCATCGGAGCAAATTTCAAATGAAGGCATACAGAACATGTCTGCAATTGTTCCATTGGCATGAAACAGTCACTCAGACTTCCATAATGGACAAAGTGACTGTGATTAACAAGGGACATTTAATGTAACCTCAACTGATTTATTAGTCTCATCATGGCTCACTGCTAGGACCTATGCCCGTTGAGGAATCGTGAATTTGTAAAAGTGGCAAGGAGGTAGTCAGGTTACTGCTTTTATATTGCACTTACTTGTAACTTTCTTGCCATAGCCACTACATCATGATCTGGGGGATTATATTTATAACAATTTGTGAATATTGCTCTGACATCGGCAGCTATATCATTGGCGTTCGTGTAGTCTCTTGTTTCTAACTTTCTCTGTAACAAAACAGCAGACATTAATTCACAATTGTCAGACATAAAAGCAAACTCTCACATTTACATATTTGGTAGTTACCGTATTTGTCTTCAGTTAAGCGCCACCTTCAATTAGGCGCCAGTGCCACAAAAACTTTGTATTTTACACCTCAATTAAGCGCCAGACAAAGTTGAAATTTTGGCACGTAATGATCGTGAATTGGGCGCCGGCGGATCGACTACCGGTTCGTAGCGATGGACGCGATCGCGGAAGTCCCTTGCTGTTACTGTACGAATGGCTTTTATGTAAAAAAAATTGGTTTTGTTTCTAAAAATTTTTAAGAAATCGGTCTATAATCTCTTGAAACATGTCTTTTTAGTCTACTGTAGAAAATATCAGCGTGGTTTTTAATTTCGCAGTAAGTCCATAAAAACGAAATTAAAACAACGCGAAAATGTTCTGTTTCAAATGCGCTGTT